TTAGTGTATGTTCTTCTCATCAAGGTGTATCTAATAAAAATATTAAAAAATTAATTCGTAAAAAAAAAAGACCAAAATACCTCCTGAAACATTTCGGGGTATTTTGGTCAATTTATTTCATGTAAAATATATTTTTGATATTTTTAAAAAATTCACTTATTTTTTATGAATATACGCCCAAAATTTTAAGTAATTTGGATTTGTGGAAAAGAAAAAAAAAAATTCACACACTACCAGACATCCGTAATCATCAGATCGGCTCAGATTCAATCGAAGCTGTTGAGCTCATATGTTCATATGAGCTAGTAGGCTAACCCCAGCTTTTTCCTATATATATATGGGTGTAGTTTGTACTCTAAACCATCAAATTAGAGCCTACTTTTAAATAGAATCGAGGAATGTAGTTTCAATATTGAAAATATTTGTGATAGCCTTAAAATATATTTTTATATTTATTTATAAAGTTTAAAGCTTCAAAAATAGTGTAGATCGACGTATGTATGAAAACTTGAAAATTTTGAAAATTGACGGTCCAAAAATACGATACAAAATACACTATTTTCAAAACTTGCAATCCATTTTTTTTCTCATATCCGTGCATCTTGACGGTCCAGATTGAATTTGGGTCGATCTGACGGTCTCGAGTGTTTGAATTTTAATTTGTTTTTTCTACAAACTCAAATCACTTGAAATTTTTGGTGAATATTCTTCTCATTAAGCCGCACTTAATAAAAATATAAAAAAAATAATCTGTAAAATTAAAAATGACCAAAATACCTCTAAAACTTTATGGGGGTATTTTGGTTATTATTTTTTATGTAAAATATTTTTTTAATATTTTTCGAATATTCACCTATTTTTTATCAACACACATTTAAAATTTCAAGTGATTTGGATTTGTAGAAAAAAAATTAAAATTCAAACACTATCGGGTATCCGTGATCGTTAGATCGATCTAGATTCAATTTGGACCATTGGGCTCATTTTTTCTTGTGAGCCCATGGGCTTACATAAGTCTTTTCTTATATATATATATATATATATATATATATATATATATATATA